GTTCGGGTTAGGAATGCTAGCTAGTTTGTTTAATTTTTTGGATAGATCTCGGGCTAACCTTCCACTCAAAAATGACCTGCTAACCCGAATTTGACTATAACACTACAAGAATTTATTTTATTATCGACGACCAAATATCGTAGGTAATAATGGATGAAGTGTAGGTAATATATTTACCAATAGTTTAGCTATGACAAATTTTACATAACAAAAATGCTTGTCGGTAATTAAATTATTGACGGATTTAATGATGGTTTACATTAACCGACGATTTAACGACATATCATAACTGTCGTTATATATTAAAAAACATGTCATGTTTACCTATAGCTTGATCGTCAGTTATATAACTGATAAAAATGATCATTGGAAAAGTGTTGCAGTTTCGTCAGAAAAGTGTCGTGATTTTGTCGGTAAGCTGTCACCAAGCCGTCAGTTAGCCATGAGAATTTATCGGTGGCTTCCTCTGTAGCAAAAGCGTAACACTTTGCCCATATGTTGCTTGTTCGATAAACCATCGCTAGTTCAATAAACCATTAAAATTGTCGATAAGCCGTCAAAAATACGTACCATCATAAAAAAAATATAAAGCTCACTTTCAACGCTACAAATGATACACCTACAATCGTAATAGATCAATCAAAATATAGCACAATATACTAAGAAAACTAATCGATGCAAAAATCGTATACAAAAATAAAAGGAAAATAATTGAATTAAAACAAACAAAATGTACAACTGTAAATAAAAATAATTTTTGCTAACAATAAATTGTTCAATACATAACCAATCAAAAAAATAACCCCTTGCTCATCCTCTTCATCATCCTGTTTCCTCTCTTCATCATCATTATCCCCAATCTCATCCTTCTAGCTCCTTCCCTTTTTGTAGTTTCGAATGCAACATCGCCTCATTCTCTACCCTCATCTTCGATCTCAAGATGGTTACCTGGGCAGCAACTTAGCGACGCATCTCCTTCTCCTGTGGAGTGAAATTGGATGCATCAGATGTGCTAGAGGTCGGGCAAGCATCATAGACCGACGCCTGGGATCCTAACCCGTAGAAATTGCCCTTCCTTTTCTTGTTTACAGCCTCCCTCTGGAGGTTGTACTCAGAAGGACGTGAGATGTGCCCGAACCATAGGCTGACTGTTGAGATCAGCTCTCCTTAAGCCTTTGGAAGGCCTCCTACAAAACATATAATTATTGAAAGCGAGATACTAAATAAATTTTGATATTTATTTTAATTTTATACTTATTAATCATGTTAATTACTTGGTCGTCTTCGATCTGTTGTTCACCCAGGATTAATTAGACTACCACCTGTGCTTGTGCTCGTGTAACTATGTAGCAGTTAGCTCTCGTTCTTTTTCTAGTGTCTATTATTGTGAGGAAATAATTATCCTATATTTAATGTAAAATAAGATTTAATGCAAAAAAAAAGAAAAAAAAAGTTTCATCAACCTCCTCTTGTATTTCGTATGTGGGGGGCTCCATTGGTGTGCTTTGAGGACCCTACGCATACCACATAAATGGTCTCTCATACGATCGCTCACATTGTGCTCAAAGTCCTGCGGATGTGGGGGGGGGGGGGGGGGGGAAAAAAAAAAGTTTCATCAACCTCCTCTTGTATTTCGTATGTGGGGGGCTCCATTGGTGTGCTTTGAGGACCTCATGCCCTCCAGTCAGAGCGGTGATTCAACTTTGTCTGCTCCATCTTCCTATAACACTCGGGAGAGTCCCGGGCCCCGAACATTGCGACAAACAAATCCCCGCCTAGCCACAAAAGGCGCTCATGTGTGT